TAGTCTCCAGCTGAAATCTAAGGTTGAAAAATATCTATGTTTATGTAACAATTAAAATTTTAGTTAAGATAAAAAATAAATAAAAAAAAGGAAAAAACTTTTTTTTTGTTCCTACCAAGACTGTTATGTTATGTTACGCACAAACTTGAACTAAACGCTTGGAGTACATGAAATTCTATTGGATAAAGTCTTTATTTTAATTTTTGCTAGATATTTTTTTTTAAAAAATAGTTTAAAATTTTATCTAGAATTTAAAAGAAACAAACTTGATCCATTAAAATAATAATAAATAATGAACTATTATATTAAAACGATTCCTTTTGAATGAATAATAATGAAGAGAGAAAGAAAAATGTTGAAAAATACTTTTGTTACTTATACTGTGACTAAAGTAACAATTTAATTCCTGAACTTTAGTTTGTAATGATTTAGTATTTGTACTTTCATATTGATAACAATTTAATTTTGAACTTGAATATGTAACAATTTAATCCTTGTAATTTAAAGTTGGTAACAATTTAATCCTTATCGTGAATTTTTTTTGTTAAGTTTCTTATATATATAGATGGATAAACTAAAGAAGGATCAAATATATTTATAACTAGAAATATTAAATTATTATATGATAAAATTTGACACTTAATTTTAATAAAATTGTTTACGATAGGGACTAAATTGTTACAAATTTTAAACTACAGAGACTAAATTGTTACAAATTAAAGTTTATGGACTAAATTGTTACTTTAATGAAAGTATAAGGACTAAATCGTTACAAGTTAAAGTGTATGGACTTATTTTAGTAATTTAACTGGTGCAATTTTCTAGATATACAGTGATGAAGATGTTTGACCTGACTTGACAATAAAAATTTGACAACACTCTACTCTTTTAAAAAATAAAAGAAAACTGCAGTTGGTAGTAAAAATCTTTTATGTATTTTAAAACATGTCATCTGTTTTTTTTTTTTCAAATATAGCACAAATTTTCACTTATATCTGTAGCATATCAGATACTTATATCAGTAGTATAGCATACACTCATATCAATAATATATCAAATGTATATCACATACATATTGTACAAATACTCATATCATTAATATATCAGATGTATGTCACATACATATTGCAAGTATTTCAAACATCAGTATATCAGATGTACATCACATACATATATCAATATTCAAATATATTACAGATATATTACCAATATATATCATTTGGATAAAGTTGTTATTTTAAAATTAGACCTTCATTTCTTTTAAGTGCTATATTTAAAAAACTAAATGTGGTGATTGTTTTATTAATTTTACTAAATATTTTTATATATTTACAACTACCACTTTAAAAAATGTAAAAGATATTTTTCTCGTCTATGTAACATGTGTGAAGATTCTTTTGTTCTTGTTTTTCCTTATGTTTTTAATTTAAGATTTAATGAAGATTCTTTTGTTCTTGTTTTCCTTATGTTTTTAATTTAAGACTTAATGATTCCCAATCAAGCTCATAAATATTACTTGTTATAAATTTGACTTATTGTTCTTGATGAGAATTTTCTCCAACATAATCTTAAATTAATAAAATAAAAGATTAATTAGTGATAAAGAAAAACTATAATTAACCATATGAAACAGCCCAAAATTGACAAATTGAGAGGGAAAAACGAAAAGAAAAGGGAAAAAGTTATTGGCAAATGCCTTGAAGCTTAAGCACTTTGCTTGGACATGAAGAACACAACACATAAGGCCATAAAGGCCAATTTAATGGAATTTGAGTTCTTTCAAAATTAACTAACAATTTCTCATCATACATAAAGAACAACAAGAAGTTCAAAAAATTAATTAACATATTTTTGTTCATAAAATTACAACAACAATAATATCAATAACGAAACAAATCATCTTCTGCCACGTGCAGATCAGCAGATAAATGATTCGATAAAATCCACATTAGAGACGACACTCGCCAAGAACTTCCACAAAGATCAGATTATCAAAATGCAGGAACATCAAAATCTCTGCAAATCTTTATCTCTTTATTTATTTATTTAAAATTTCCCCCAACTGGGTTTTTTCTGTTTGTTTGGCTGCATAGAAAAAACTTCAACCTTTGAAGAAGCTGGAAGATCCTCCCCGAGAAAAATCTTTTACTAAAAAATCCTACATTTAATTTCTTCTTCCACGAGAACCCAAGCCCAAAATTTTCCCTTTTGGCTCTGAAAAGAAAAAAAAAATTTCTTTTTGGGGGTCAGTTTCTTCTCTCTGATCATGCTACACATCCCAATCCCTTTGCTTCGGATCCTTTCATGATTCTTAGTCTCTTGCAGCACGACATAAACATTCTGTAAAAACAAAAACAAAACAACCCCAAATCGTCAGATCATTAAATATTCAGACAAAATTTCAACTTTTTTAAAACGAAATTGAACTTACTCCCATGGAACATCGCCGACCAGCATCCAATCTCCATCTTTATCTTCGTAAGTTGGAACATATTCAGATCCTTTGTAACCTTCTCTCTCGGAATATTCACCTGAAACACCCAAAAACAAATCCAAAATAAATTTCAGGAAACATATAAAAAAAGGGTGAAAATTTTGGTTGAATTAATTACTTATTACACACCTACGGTGAATTTAAACATGTCCTCTAAAGTGAGGAGGAGCTCCGGGTAGGCTTTGTACAAACTCAGATCAATTTTTCTAAGATAAGGAGCTCCGTCCATGCTTACTTTCACGTAATTTCCGCTACTCTCCGGCGCCGCCGCCGCCACCTTCTTCGCCTGAAGGCTGTTCCTTCTGAACGACTGAACCGGCGGCCACCCCACAATCTGGGCCCTACATAAATCAATTACCATCTAATTAACAAACTAATTACATGCACTAAATCAAAATTGATTTTGGAAAATGATGGGTTTTGAATGACTTACTTGGAGGGAGGGGGGGTTTGGTGGGTGGCGTCAGAAGAAGTGGTGTTATTTGAACCGGAGGAGCTGTGGTTGGATTCCGGCAATGGTCTTTTGTTGGGGATGATTCTGAGACTTTGAGGATTGTTGTTGGTGTCGTCGACGCCGGGCGGTCCTAGCCGGAGCTCCGTCGCGTCGAGGTTGAGGCCATGCTCAAACGCCGCCATGAGAATTTGGTCAAAGTTTTGAGCTTTTGGAATGAATGAATGAATGAATGGTTGGTGGGAGAATGAGGGGAGGTGGTTGTATTTTTATAGAGAAGGCTTAAAAGCGAAATGGGGTTTAGTTTAATTTTGAGAAACGAGAGATAAAAATTGAATCTTTTTTGTTGGGTGTGGGGTTTGAATTGAGGACAAAGGCAAGCGAAGGTGTCGGTAGCAAAGGCAGCAACTTTGAGGCAAAGTGTGTGATGGAAGGAGGGGACAAGGGTGGGACAGCCGCGAGTCTGCCCACGAGGAATTGGGGAGTTGGGAGTGGACGGCTCGGATGACTTGTGGTACATGCTGGGAACACATCTGGACCGTTGATTTGTGGAGCATCCCCACGTGAAGAGGGTCCATATGAGTGCTCGGCACTGCCATGTGGGACATACACCCTCTCTTTCTCTAATTTAATTCATGTTTAAGATGTCACTTTTATTGGAAAACTTAATTAAAAGAATATGTGAATAATCTAAAGTTACTTTTGGAATTTGGTTCCTTCGCCATTGAGTTAGTATTACTTTTACAAGTTTAAAAAAGCTTGAAGATGTATATTGAAGAATAATAAATTAACCCTTAGCTATCCATTTAATTTTCTGAGCAAGTATATTGGTTATAGAGGCTAAAATCAATCGATTATGTCGAGTTTAACTTTTTACTCGGGATGAAATAGAATTTAGAGTAGTGTGTTTATGACAATCTCAAGTTAGATAAAATTGTGATAGCAGGAGAGCAAAGAATTGAATATGTCTTGATATGGGGACCAAAAAGCATAGTTAAGGCATCTTCGAGGATGGTTTAGAGATGTTGGAGAGAATTGGAGTGAATGTTATGGGGAAGATAATTTTTCATTAGATCATGTAGCTGTGATGGAGAGGCATGATGTGATCCCTAGATCAAGGGTTGGAACGAAGAAGAAGGAAGGAAGAGGGGCAATTACTCCATCGTACTTTGTTCTAGTTAATTCAAAATGTATAGGTAAAATATTTAAGATTTTTCAATTTTTCTCCGATGCCTTTACATTTTTAGGATTTAAAGATTATAAATACAAAAAAGTAATTAGACCTCCTAGGAAGATTTATGACTCCTCTCTTGATGTGTGATGGAGAGGAATTATGATCAACCAGTCAAGTAGACAGGACACAATTGAAATACAGAGGTGTAGTGTAGGCCTACCAAAATAGAGACAAATATGTGCTACACGTGTCATAGGTACAGCATAACTCAGATGGACTGAACCTAAGATCGTCGTTAGTAGGTCACAAGGAGGCTGGCACTATGTTCGAGATATTGATTCACCCATGAATTGTCCATGCCAAGTTACACTACAACAAAAAAGGTCTTCAGCGACATTAATTAGCGGCGAAGTTTTTTTCGTCGCTTTTCTAGTGACAAAAAGTATTTATCGTCGCAAAACAGCGACGAAAATAATTTTCGTCGCTG